TGCCAGGTTGCTAAGGATAACCAGAGGCCTGCTCGTGGCTTCATGGGCCATTTGCTTGCATCAAAACCGAATGAAATTTTGGYAATTGACTTTACTTTGTTAGAGCCAACTTCATCTGGCATAGAAAATGTATTAGTGATGACTGATGTGTTCTCCAAATATACGTTGGCTGTCCCAACTAGGGATCAGCGCGCCTCCACTGTAGCTCAGGTCCTGGTCACTGAATGGTTTGCAAAATTTGGAGTACCAGCACGCATCCATTCAGACCAGGGCCGCAGCTTTGAAAGCACTCTGATCCAGCAGCTTTGTAGTCTGTATGGTATTGTCAAATCTCGTACCACGCCTTACCATCCAGCTGGTAACGGGCAGTGCGAACGTTTTAATAGGACGCTTCACAACTTGTTGAGAACATTGCCCATGTCCCGGAAACGAGACTGGAGYGTTTGTTTACCCCAGTTGCTTTATGCATATAACACCACCCCTCATCAATCAACTGGTGAGTCACCATTTTTTCTAATATTTGGTCAAGAACCACGTCTTCCAGTTGATTTTCTGTTGGGAAGAGTTCAAAACCCAGTTGCAGGAACGGTTCATGATTGGGTCCATGAACACCAGACTCGCTTGCAAATAGCATTTGAGGGTGCTAGAGAAAAATTGAGGACYTCTGCAGGGCGTAGAAAAGCTAATCATGACCAGAACATCAGAGAAGYTCCTCTTAAGGAGGGCCAGTTTGTGTTGATCCGAAATTTGGGGAGTAAAGGTCGTCAGAAGACTCAGGATTTATGGAGTTCAGTGACGCATGTAGTTATTAAAGTCCCAAGAGAGGGTGGTGTGGTGTATTCAGTGGCACCMGTTCATGACCAGACCAGGGTAAGGAGGGTGCATCGCTCTTTGCTGAAGGTCCTGATTGTTGCTGATGCACCGGATTCAGTTCCTGTTGAAGATGCATCTTCTGAACATCACTCTATTTCAGAGGACGAGCTGTCTTTGGAGGGTGATTTGTTCATGAGGCCATGGCCTCATGGGCAGGTGCCACCTGCCCCACCTGCTGCTGTGGTTTCTGATGTTGYTCCTAGGGCTTCAGGACCTACCGTGGCTCCTTCTGGCATGACTGTGAATCAACCTACCTCATTCCCAGTTGCACCGGCAGCAGAGTCTGGTTCCAGCGAGAGGTCCGTGCGYAAATCGGCACGATCAACTGCTGGCCAGCATCGTAATATCCATCATCTTCCAATGCCGGCAGTCAGAGAGACACCTTCATCTAGTACCATGTCTGCTGTATTTCGACCTTGGTGTTAAGTCATCGTCGGGGCGTCGATGCAGTTTGGGGGGGTGGAATGTGGCAGTATGCCCTATGGGCTTTGAACGCACCACACAAGTGCCTGCATCTGATTGGTCGTGGCGCTGGCTGCCTGTATATAAAGGGCCCTCCCTCATCTGGTTGACATCACGTTCTCCTTCCGGTTCAGACCGTGGTGTTTATTGGTGCCGCATGCTAGGTAAGGCAGGCTTCATCTCTCTCAATCAAGCTTGTTACTTGTGAT